AAAAAGAAGAAAGATACGGACGAATAATGAGAAGAAAGTTAAAAAGAGAAAAAGAATACTAAGAAGTAGAAGAAGAAGAAGAATCTTGAAGAGAAAATAAATAAAGACGACAATTATTAATAATAATAGTAACAGCAATGACAATATTCAGTGTTACCATTGTATTTAAATGTGCTAGAAGCAATATGAATGAAAATATATATATTATATATGCTCAAGAAAGACTACATGTTTAGATGCATACAATCTTTTTGCAATAGAGCCACAACAGCGATACCTCCTCACCATAACCAAGAAAAACATACATAGTAAAACAAGCAGACAACTTATTTCGTTCAACTTTAGGAAGAACAACAAAACAAGTACAACAAAGACACGCAATGAGAAATAGTCAATTGGTTTACCATATAACTATTTAAAAGGAGAAAGATTCGAAATAATAATAAAAACAATTCAATTAATGAGATGAATAACTGTAGAACTGTCTTCCCCCAAAAAGAGCTAGGAACAAACGTAGATAAAAAGCAATGAACGAATAGTCTCCTTAACGTGTCTGTATTTTTGCTTAACCACATCATTCTGCTCAAAAGTGTCTAAACAAGAGGACTGTTGATAGTTTCATTAGATTTCAATAAATCAAAAAACTTGGTATATTTATATTCCCCATCCAAATCACTCCGAAAACAAATGGATAACAGACTTGGCCACTAACCACGCAAGGCCTAACTCTAATACCAAGTTAATCTAGATCTAACTATGCAAATAATAAAATACATGTAGAAAAGAAAGAGAGAATAAAATATTACGGCTACATTAATATTCCGTAATTGTCATAACTAGTTACAAGATACACTATATTTACAACCCTACTTTAAGAAAAAGACAAAATACTTAGAATGATAAACAAAGATACATACAATCTTCACAGTTAGAAAACGAGGAATACACAAACAGAAAAAAAAGGAATATGAAGAAAACGATGTATGCCAAAACGGGTAAGAAAAAGAAGAACACTGAGGAGAAGAATAAGTAATACTAAGAATAATAAGAAGAAGAAAAACAAAAATATTGAGAACCAAAGAATACTAAGAAGAAAAATAAGAAGATATTGAGAACATTTGAAGAAGAAGAATACCGAGAAGAAAAAGAAGAATATGAGGGGTACAGAGAAAAAGAAAAAGAAGAAAAAACAAAGAATATTGAGAAGAACAAGAAGAATATCAAGAAAAAGAAGAAGACAAAGAGTACTGAGAAGAAGAATACTTAAACAAAGAAGAAAAAGAACACTAAGAAGAAGAATAAAAAGAAAAAAAATAAAAAAAATATTGAGATAAAGAAGAAGAATACTAAAAATAAGAAGACAAGAAATAGAACAAAAAAAGTGAGAAGAAGAATACTCAAGAAAAGAAGAAGAAAAATAATGAGAAGAAAAAGTTTATTCAGAAGAAGAATACAGAAGGAGAATGCCGAAAAGAAGAAAAAGAAAAGGAAAAGGAATACAATCAAGAAGAAGATTACAGAGAAAGAAAATAGAAAGGAATAAGGCTAAAAATAAAAGTAATAAAAAGGATGAAATGAGAAAAACACTGAGAAGAAAAATAAGAAAAAGAGTATTCATAAATGAAGAAGAACAAGAATATTGAGAAGTAGAAGGTGTAGAAAATGAAGAACAAGAAAGAAGAATAAGAATAACAAGAATACTGAGAACAAGACGAAATAATATTACCAGTAAGAAAAAGAAGAATACTGAGAAAAAAAAATGAAGAAAATCATGAAGAAGAAGAAGAAGAAGAAGACCACTCAGAAGAAGAATACAGACAAGAAAAGAATGAAGAAGATTAGCGAGATGAAAAACAACACCACAAAAAAAACAACTGAAAAAAAGAAGAATACAACGAAGAAAAACAAGAATATTGAGAAGGAGAAAAACAAGAAAAAGATGATTAATAAGAAGAGAAAAAAAAATACTGAAAAGAATAAGAATATAGAAGATAAAAAAAAAGTCTAAGATAAATATTGAAAGGGAGAAGGAGGATACTGACGAACACTTAAAAGAGTTCAGAAGAAATGCTATTAAGAAAAGAAAAAAATGATACTGAGAAGAAGAGGAAAGAATATTGATAGAAGGGAAGATGAAGAAGAAGATAAAGAACAAGAAGAATACTCAAAAGAGGAAAAAGATGGCGATGAGGAAGAAGCATGAGAATACCGAGAAAAAGAATTAAAATAAAAAACGAAAGAATAAGAATATTGAGAAGTAGAATAGGGGAGAAGCAGAAAAAATAGAAGATGATGATGAAGAATATAAAAAAAAAAAGAATACAGAGAAAAAGTATACGAAAAAAAATAATACGAAATAATAATAATAGTATAATAAGAAGAAGAAGAACAAAAAAACACTGAGAAGAATAATACTTATAAAAGAATAAGTAAAAGAAGAAGAGTACTCGTAAAAGAAGAAGAAGAATACTGACAAGAAAAAGACGAAGAACAAGAAAGAAGAATACTCAAAACAAGAATAGTGAAAAGACGAAAGAATATTATCGGGAAAAAGAATACTAAGAAAAGGAAGATAAAGAAGAAAAATACTTAGAATAAGAAGAAAGGGATCACTAAGAAAAAGAACAAGAAGAAGACTACTCAGAAGAATAATAAAGCAACAAAAGACTGAGAAAAAAGAAGACGACGAATAGTGAGACGAAGAACTACAACACTGAGAAGAAGACTACTAAAAAAAAGAAGACAATTGAGAAAAAGAAGAAGACAACTGAGAAAAACGAAAAGAAGATGAGTAAGATGAAGAACAACAACACTCAGAAGGAGGAGAAGAAGAAGACACTGCTAAGAAGTAAAAGACTACTACAAAGGAGACGGCAAATAAGAACATTACTAAGAAGAACACTACTAAAAAATAGATGAGGAAGAACACTATCTTCTTCATAGTATTTTTTTTCTTCTTTTTTGTAGTGCTCTTCTTCTTCGTTGTGTTGTTAATTTTCTTCCATTTTGCAGTCGTTTCTTCTTCGTAGTATCCTTTTTGTTGTTTTTCTTTTTCGTAGGCTTTCTCTTTGTAGGCTTTGTATTCTTTTTCTTCATAGTCATCTACTTCTTCTTCGTCATCGAGCGTTCTTTTTTTTTTTTTGTAGTCTTGTTCTTCTTTGTAGTCTACTTTTTGTTCTTCGTAGTGATCTTATTTTTCTTCTTCTTCATAGTCGTCTTCCTCATATTCTCTTCTTCTTCGTAGTCTTCCTTCTTTTTCTTCTTTGTAATCCTCTTCTTCGTAGTCCTCTTACAAATTTTTTTATTCTTTTCTTCGTAGTCTTTTATTTCTTCTTGTTCATAGTTGTCGTCTTTTTGTTCATAGTTTTCTTCTCTTATTCGTAGTCTTTTTTCTTCCCAATATTATTCTTCTTCTTCTTCGTAGTACTATTCTTCTTTGTAGTCTTCTTTTTCTTGTTGGCAATGTTACTCTTCTTTGTAGTATTGCTCATCTTTATAGTCTTCTTGTTCCTTGCAATCTTTTTCCTAGTTTTTTTCGTAATCTTCTTCTGGGTAATGTTTTGCATGGTCGTCGTCTTGTTCATATTCTTCTTTTTCTTCTTTTTAGTTTTTTTTTTTCATAATTTTCTTCTTTTTGTAGTCGTCATCTTTTTCTTTTTTTCTGCGCAGTTTTCTTTTCTTTTTTTTTCTGCGCAGTTTTCTTTTCTTTTTTTCATCATCTACTTCATAGTTATTAGTATCGTACGTATCGTACGATATATTACGATACGGAAGTAAAACGATATAGATCGTAGTTATGTATCGTTTTTGCGTTGTATCGTCCAATACACAATACGTTTTTACAATACGACCGATAAGCGCAAAATGTATATTTTTTTTTCTCTGAAACGACGTCGTTTTGTCTAAATAAGACACTAATTTTTTTATCCCCGTCACTGATGAAACGACGTCGTTTTGTCTAAATAAGACACTAATTTTTTTATCCCTGCCACTGATGAAACGACGTCGTTTTATCTAAATAAGACACTAATTTTTTTTTTTGTATAAAAATTTTTGAATCTTGATTAATTTTATGGATTGAGTTCAAAATGGATGTTAGAAATTTAGATTAAAAGTCTCTTTGGTGTTTGAAGTTTAAATTAGTGAACTATGGTTGCAAACTTTGCATTATAATATTAGTGAACTATATTGATGACTTGAATAGGTGGTGGGAGTATTAATGAAATGCTATATTTTTATAAGTGTATGATTTTTTTTCAAATGTATATAGATATTTTTATTATTTATTTAAAATTACACCGTATCTTACGATACACGATACGATACACTATTTTTAAAAAATGATACGCCTTCCGATACACGATTTGATAACTATGATCTACTTGTTCATAATCATGTTCTTGTTCTTCGTATTCTTGTTCACAGTCTTTTTTATGTTTTTCTTTTTTGTAGTCGTTGTCTTCTTCACAGTTTTTTTCGAGTTCTTGTTCTTCGTAGTTTTCTTCTTATTGTTCGTCATCTTTTTCTGCTTCATAGTCCATTTCTACTTCTTTTTCATAGTGTTTTTCCTCTTCTTTGTGGTCTTCTATTTCCCCGTCATAGTAGTCTACCTCTTTGTAGTCTTCTTTTGTTTTTCCTTCTTCTTTATCGTTGTGTTATTTTTCTTCTAGTTCGTAGTCTTCCTTTTTGAAGTTTTCTATTTCTTCTTATCCGTAATCTTTTTTCTTCGTAGTGTTCTTCTTAGTAGTGTACTTCTAATTCTTCGTAGTATTATTCTTCTTTGTAGTCATCTTATTATTCTTCTTCATAGTATTGTTCATCTTTGTATTCTTCTTTTCTTTTCATTTTCTTTGTAGTTTTCTTCTTTTTTATCATAATTTTTCTTTTTCTTCTTCTTCCTCTTCATCATCGTCATCGTAGTCTTCTTTTTCTTACTTTTCTTCTTCGGATTTTTCTTTATAATCTTATTTTTCTTTGTAGTCTCCTACTTTTTCTTCTTCTTAGTCTCCTTCTTTTTCTTCTATGTAATCTTCCTTTTCTTCGTGGCTTTTTGTAGACTTCTTCTTTATAGTAGTCTTCTTCTTATTCTTCTTCATAGTTGTCTTCTTTCCTTTTAGTCTTTTTTCTTTTTCTTCGCTGTCTTTTTTATCGTATTCTTCTTCTTTATTGTAAATGTTCATAGCATTTGTAGTCTTTGTTTTCTTCATAATTTTCTTCTTCTTCCTTGTATTCTTTTTTTCGTAGTCTACTTTTTCTTCGTAGTCTTCTTCTTCATAGTTTGCTTCCTCTTCGTCGTCTTTTTCTTGGTCTTCTTCTTCTTCCTTTGCATTGTCTTCTTCAAGATCTTCTTATTCTTCATAGTATTGGCGAATCGAAATTTTGGAGTTGTATTAAAAAATTGATGAACAAAGGAACAGAAGTACTGAACATATACTCAACAAACTAAAGGCAACAAAGAAGACAAATACTCAACAAACTAAAAGAATCAGAAAAAACACACCCACATACAACACACTTTAAAGATCCACCATTGTTGAAGCTTCGATTGATGACCCACCAAAGAGAAACGGAAGAAGAGAAGACAACTAAGGGGCATAAATTGCAGATCTGGTTCGAGATCCACCATGGTGGTTCACTAAGATCTAATCGTCAACTGAGAGAAAGATCTGATTTGCTGAGCTTTGGTTTGCTCTTCGACCCATATCTACTCATTCGGGGTTGCTCGTCGAGTGATAGATCTGTGGTCGCTTGTCGACTAAGATTTAGGATTGCACATTAGCCGAGATCTAGGGTCGCTCAACTGAGATCTAGCGTAGCTCTTCGACTATGAGAGAGAAAGAAGGAGGGGCTAGAGAGAGGGACTAAGGGAAAATGCGGGTTAGGGATTTAGGGTAAAACTAGAGAAGTAATTTTATATTTATATGAATATATTAAATTATATACAATTATTAATTAATAAAAGTAGGAGTCAGAGTCACTTCTTTTGGAAAAGGATTTCAAACTCCAACTCTGCCTGAGTCGAAGTCGAACTAGAGTCAGAGACGAAGTCAGATTTTCAGATAGTTATAGTCTTTTTCTTCACCATAGTTATAGTCTTATTTGTAGTTTTATTCTTCATTTTCTTCTTTGTCGCCATCTTCATCTTCTTCTTTTTTCCAGTAGTCTTCCTTTTCTTCGTAGTCTTCTTTTCTTTGTAGACTTCTTTCTTCTTTTTCATACTCTGCTTCCTCTTTGTAGTCTTTTTTATGGTCTTCTTCTTATTTTTCTTCTCTTCGTGGTCTACTTATTCTTTTTTTTTATATTATTCATAGTGATCTTCTTCTTTATTCATAGTCTTCTACTTATTTTTCTTCGTATTCATCTTCTCATCATAATTATTTTTTTTTTCTTCTTCTTCGTTATAGTCTTCTTCTTTTTCCTAGTATTCCTTTTCTTCGTCGTCTTCTTTTCTTTGTAGTCTCCTTTCTTCTTCTTTTTCATAGTCTTCTTCCTCTTTGTAGTATTTTTTATGGTCTTCTTATTTTTTTTCTCTTCATGGTCTGCTTATTCTTCTTTTTTGTATTTTTCATAGTGTTCTTCTTTATAGTCATCTTTGTCCTTCATAGTCTTCTACTTCTTTTTCTTCGTATTCATCTTCTTCATCACACCCTTTTTCTTCTTGGTTTTTTTTCTCATAGTCGTCTTCTTCCTTCATAGTCATCATCTTCATCTTCNATCTTATTTTTCTTCTTCTTCATAGTCGTCTTCCTCATATTCTCTTCTTCTTCGTAGTCTTCCTTCTTTTTCTTCTTTGTAATCCTCTTCTTCGTAGTCCTCTTACAAATTTTTTTATTCTTTTCTTCGTAGTCTTTTATTTCTTCTTGTTCATAGTTGTCGTCTTTTTGTTCATAGTTTTCTTCTCTTATTCGTAGTCTTTTTTCTTCCCAATATTATTCTTCTTCTTCTTCGTAGTACTATTCTTCTTTGTAGTCTTCTTTTTCTTGTTGGCAATGTTACTCTTCTTTGTAGTATTGCTCATCTTTATAGTCTTCTTGTTCCTTGCAATCTTTTTCCTAGTTTTTTTCGTAATCTTCTTCTGGGTAATGTTTTGCATGGTCGTCGTCTTGTTCATATTCTTCTTTTTCTTCTTTTTAGTTTTTTTTTTTCATAATTTTCTTCTTTTTGTAGTCGTCATCTTTTTCTTTTTTTCTGCGCAGTTTTCTTTTCTTTTTTTTTCTGCGCAGTTTTCTTTTCTTTTTTTCATCATCTACTTCATAGTTATTAGTATCGTACGTATCGTACGATATATTACGATACGGAAGTAAAACGATATAGATCGTAGTTATGTATCGTTTTTGCGTTGTATCGTCCAATACACAATACGTTTTTACAATACGACCGATAAGCGCAAAATGTATATTTTTTTTTCTCTGAAACGACGTCGTTTTGTCTAAATAAGACACTAATTTTTTTATCCCCGTCACTGATGAAACGACGTCGTTTTGTCTAAATAAGACACTAATTTTTTTATCCCTGTCACTGATGAAACGACGTCGTTTTATCTAAATAAGACACTAATTTTTTTTTTTGTATAAAAATTTTTGAATCTTGATTAATTTTATGGATTGAGTTCAAAATGGATGTTAGAAATTTAGATTAAAAGTCTCTTTGGTGTTTGAAGTTTAAATTAGTGAACTATGGTTGCAAACTTTGCATTATAATATTAGTGAACTATATTGATGACTTGAATAGGTGGTGGGAGTATTAATGAAATGCTATATTTTTATAAGTGTATGATTTTTTTTCAAATGTATATAGATATTTTTATTATTTATTTAAAATTACACCGTATCTTACGATACACGATACGATACACTATTTTTAAAAAATGATACGCCTTCCGATACACGATTTGATAACTATGATCTACTTGTTCATAATCATGTTCTTGTTCTTCGTATTCTTGTTCACAGTCTTTTTTATGTTTTTCTTTTTTGTAGTCGTTGTCTTCTTCACAGTTTTTTTCGAGTTCTTGTTCTTCGTAGTTTTCTTCTTATTGTTCGTCATCTTTTTCTGCTTCATAGTCCATTTCTACTTCTTTTTCATAGTGTTTTTCCTCTTCTTTGTGGTCTTCTATTTCCCCGTCATAGTAGTCTACCTCTTTGTAGTCTTCTTTTGTTTTTCCTTCTTCTTTATCGTTGTGTTATTTTTCTTCTAGTTCGTAGTCTTCCTTTTTGAAGTTTTCTATTTCTTCTTATCCGTAATCTTTTTTCTTCGTAGTGTTCTTCTTAGTAGTGTACTTCTAATTCTTCGTAGTATTATTCTTCTTTGTAGTCATCTTATTATTCTTCTTCATAGTATTGTTCATCTTTGTATTCTTCTTTTCTTTTCATTTTCTTTGTAGTTTTCTTCTTTTTTATCATAATTTTTCTTTTTCTTCTTCTTCCTCTTCATCATCGTCATCGTAGTCTTCTTTTTCTTACTTTTCTTCTTCGGATTTTTCTTTATAATCTTATTTTTCTTTGTAGTCTCCTACTTTTTCTTCTTCTTAGTCTCCTTCTTTTTCTTCTATGTAATCTTCCTTTTCTTCGTGGCTTTTTGTAGACTTCTTCTTTATAGTAGTCTTCTTCTTATTCTTCTTCATAGTTGTCTTCTTTCCTTTTAGTCTTTTTTCTTTTTCTTCGCTGTCTTTTTTATCGTATTCTTCTTCTTTATTGTAAATGTTCATAGCATTTGTAGTCTTTGTTTTCTTCATAATTTTCTTCTTCTTCCTTGTATTCTTTTTTTCGTAGTCTACTTTTTCTTCGTAGTCTTCTTCTTCATAGTTTGCTTCCTCTTCGTCGTCTTTTTCTTGGTCTTCTTCTTCTTCCTTTGCGTTGTCTTCTTCAAGATCTTCTTATTCTTCATAGTATTGGCGAATCGAAATTTTGGAGTTGTATTAAAAAATTGATGAACAAAGGAACAGAAGTACTGAACATATACTCAACAAACTAAAGGCAACAAAGAAGACAAATACTCAACAAACTAAAAGAATCAGAAAAAACACACCCACATACAACACACTTTAAAGATCCACCATTGTTGAAGCTTCGATTGATGACCCACCAAAGAGAAACGGAAGAAGAGAAGACAACTAAGGGGCATAAATTGCAGATCTGGTTCGAGATCCACCATGGTGGTTCACTAAGATCTAATCGTCAACTGAGAGAAAGATCTGATTTGCTGAGCTTTGGTTTGCTCTTCGACCCATATCTACTCATTCGGGGTTGCTCGTCGAGTGATAGATCTGTGGTCGCTTGTCGACTAAGATTTAGGATTGCACATTAGCCGAGATCTAGGGTCGCTCAACTGAGATCTAGCGTAGCTCTTTGACTATGAGAGAGAAAGAAGGAGGGGCTAGAGAGAGGGACTAAGGGAAAATGCGGGTTAGGGATTTAGGGTAAAACTAGAGAAGTAATTTTATATTTATATGAATATATTAAATTATATACAATTATTAATTAATAAAAGTAGGAGTCAGAGTCACTTCTTTTGGAAAAGGATTTCAAACTCCAACTCTGCCTGAGTCGAAGTCGAACTAGAGTCAGAGACGAAGTCAGATTTTCAGATAGTTATAGTCTTTTTCTTCACCATAGTTATAGTCTTATTTGTAGTTTTATTCTTCATTTTCTTCTTTGTCGCCATCTTCATCTTCTTCTTTTTTCCAGTAGTCTTCCTTTTCTTCGTAGTCTTCTTTTCTTTGTAGACTTCTTTCTTCTTTTTCATACTCTGCTTCCTCTTTGTAGTCTTTTTTATGGTCTTCTTCTTATTTTTCTTCTCTTCGTGGTCTACTTATTCTTTTTTTTTATATTATTCATAGTGATCTTCTTCTTTATTCATAGTCTTCTACTTATTTTTCTTCGTATTCATCTTCTCATCATAATTATTTTTTTTTTCTTCTTCTTCGTTATAGTCTTCTTCTTTTTCCTAGTATTCCTTTTCTTCGTCGTCTTCTTTTCTTTGTAGTCTCCTTTCTTCTTCTTTTTCATAGTCTTCTTCCTCTTTGTAGTATTTTTTATGGTCTTCTTATTTTTTTTCTCTTCATGGTCTGCTTATTCTTCTTTTTTGTATTTTTCATAGTGTTCTTCTTTATAGTCATCTTTGTCCTTCATAGTCTTCTACTTCTTTTTCTTCGTATTCATCTTCTTCATCACACCCTTTTTCTTCTTGGTTTTTTTTCTCATAGTCGTCTTCTTCCTTCATAGTCATCATCTTCATCTTCTTTTTCCCCATAGTCTTTTTTTTTTTGTCGTAGTTTACTTTCTTCTTCTTCTTCATAGTCCGTTTCCTCTTCGTAGTCTTTTCGTGGTCGTTTCTGCTTTTTATTCATGTTCTTCTTACTTTTTGTATTCGTCTTCCTTTTTTCGGTAGTCTTCATAGTTTATTATTCTTCTTCTTTTTCTTCTTTTTCCTCCATATTATTCTTCTTCTTTACAATCTTCTTATCCTTGTTCATAGTCTTCTACTTTCTTTTCTTTGTGTTAGTCTTTTTCTTCTTCATAGTCATCGTCTTCATCTTCATCTTCTTCCTAGTAGCTGTCTTCCTTTTCTTCGTAGTCTTCATCTCCGTAGTTCTTCTTCTCCTTCGTAGTTTTTTTTCTTCTTCGCCTTCGTAGTCTTCCTCTTCTACCTCCTCATGGTCTTCTTCGTAGTATTTCCAGTCTTCCTTTTCTTGTTCTTCATAATCTTTGTAATCATCCTCTTCATAATAATAGTTTTCTTTATAGTCTTTTTATCCATATTCATAGTGTTCTACTTTTTTTTTTTCGTATTCGTCTTTTTTTTCNTCACTTTTTTTTTCTGCGCAGTTTTCTTTTCTTTTTTTTTCTGCGCAGTTTTCTTTTCTTTTTTTCATCATCTACTTCATAGTTATTAGTATCGTACGTATCGTACGATATATTACGATACGGAAGTAAAACGATATAGATCGTAGTTATGTATCGTTTTTGCGTTGTATCGTCCAATACACAATACGTTTTTACAATACGACCGATAAGCGNTCATCTTCATAGTCTTCGTCTCCGTAGTGTTCTTCTCCTTCTCCTTCGTAGTCTTTTTTTTCTTTTTCGCCTTCGTAGTCTTCCTCTTCTACCTTCTCATGGTCTTCTCTTTATAGTATTTCCAGTCTTCCTTCTTTTTCTTGTTCTTCATAATACTTGTAGTCATCCTCTTCGTAATAGTAATTTTCTTCTTTTGAGTCTACTTTTGCAGTGCTCTTCGTAGTCTTTATTTTCTTCTTCATAGCCTTTTTCTTCATCGTCTTCTTCGTAGTCTCTCTTTTCATCGTGCACTTCTTCTTCCTCTTCTTCGTAGTAATGGTGGTGGTGGTGTTCTTCATCTTTTTCTTCGAATCTTCATTTTCTTAGTCGTCTTCTTCTTCATAGTTTTCTTTTTTTGCATTGGCGTGTTAATCTTCTTCGTCGTTGTCGTCGTCCTATGCTTCTTCTTCTTTGCAGTCTTCTTTTTCTTATCATACTTGTACTCTTCTTCTTTGTACTTCTTTTTCGTTGTCTAATTCTTCACAATTTTCTCTTTCTACTTCTTCGTAATCTTCATTTTCGTAGTCGTCTTCTTCTTTATAGTTTTCTTTTTTTGCATTGGCGTGTTAATCTTCTTCGTCGTTGTTGTCGTCCTATTCTTCTTCTTCTTTGCAAACTTTTGTACTTCTTTTTCGTAGTCTAATTCTTTGCAATTTTCTCTTTCTACTTCTTCGTATTCTTCTTCGCTTTTTCTTTCATCTTTTTCAACGTCGTCAAGTCTTTTTTTTTTTGGGAAGTGTTCTTCTTAATTGGATTCTTATTCTTCTTTTTTGAAGAACACCACCACCACTACAAAGAACAAGAGGAAGAAGAAGAACACTACAACGACTGCAAAGAAGAAAAAACAAAAGTCTTACAACAAACAATAAGTCTACAAAGAAGAAGAATAAGAAACTACAAAGAAGAAAAGACCAAGAAGAAGAAGAACACTAGTAAAGAAAACAAAAAAAAAAACTACTAAGAAGAAGAATAAGAAGACAACAAGTACTAAGACGCAGAAGAAGTAGAAGACTATGAAGAATAAGAAAACTACGGAGAGGAAGACTACTATGAAGAAGAAGACAGTGAAAAGGAAGACAATGTAGAGCAAGACTACGAAGAAGAAAAAGAATAAGAAGAACACTACGTAGAAGACTATGAAGAGGAAAACAACTATGAAGTCTTCGAAAAAGAAGAAGAAACAAATCAACAACAATACGAAGAAGATGACAAAGAAGAATACGACGAATATGAAGAACAAAAAAAATACTACAAAGAAGACGACTAAGAAGAAGAAGAAAAAGAATATGACTACGAAAAAAGAAGAATTGGTGACGGAAAATAAGAATACTAGGACGAAGAAAAATAAGGAAACTATGAAGAAGAATACTACGACGGAGAAAAATAAAATCACTATGACAATGAAGAATGACAGAGAAATAGAGAAAAATAAAAAGACTATGAAGAAGAAGACGACTACAAAGAAAACCACAAAAAAAATAACGAAAAAGAAAAAGAATAAGAGAATTATGATGAGGAAGAGTGCGAAGAAGAAAAACAACATTACAAAGAAGCGGAAGAAGAACACTACGAAGAAGAGAAGAAGAAGACGAATGCGAAAAAAGACTAAAAACAAGAAGCCTACAAAGAAGAAGAAGAAAAAATACAATTACGAAGACTGCGAAGAGGAAGACTATGAAGAATAAGAAGAAGACTATGAAGAATAAGAAGATGACTACGAAGAATAAGAAAAAGAAGACTATGAAGAACAAGAATTAGAACAAGAACAAAAAGGCCATGAAGAAAAAGAATAAAAAGACTGCAAAGAGGAAAACTACGAAGAAAAAGAACAATAAGAAGAATAATATGACTACGAAGAATAAGAAGCAGACTACAAAGAATAAGAAGAAGAAGACTGTGAAGAATAAGAAGAAGACGACTAAGAAGAATAAGAAGAAGAAGACTATGAAGAACAAAAAGAACAAGAACAAGAAGGCCATGAAGAAAAAGAATAAAAAGACTACGAAGAAGAACAAGAACAACAACAATACTATGAAGAAGAGATAGAAGAACACTGCGAATAAGAAGAAGACTACAAATAAGAAGAAAATTAGAGATGACGACAAATGACGGAAAAAAAATGACTACAAAGAAAAAGAATAACAAGGCAACAAAGAGGAAGAAGAAGAAGAGCACAACACCACCACTACAAAGAAAAAGAGGAAGAAGAAAAGAAGAAAACACTATGAAGACTATGAAAAGAATTGCAAAGAAGAAAAAGAACAAGATTGTGAAGAAGACGACGGTTACAAAAAGAAGAAGAGAATACGAAGAAGTAAACTATCAAGAAGAAGACTATGAAAAAAAATACTGAAGAAAAAGTAGGAGAAGAAAACTCCAAAGAAAAAGACTGAAGAATAACGCGGCATGCTCGAATTATGATTGCTTTTACGCGAGAAAGGGGGACCACCCTCTAGGCCTAAGTATTCCTCAATGACCGATAACGTACAAGTACTCTGTGTGGGGGGGGGGGTCTCTTCCCAAGGGAAATCAAAATAATTGTACAAGCATCACATCTGACTCCACAACTTCCGAGAGCTTGTGGTGTTCGCAGATACACNTAACTACAAAGAAAAAGAATAACGAGGCAACAAAGAGGAAGAAGAAGAAGAAGAAGAGCACAACACCACCACTACAAAGAAAAAGAGGAAGAAGAAAAGAAGAAAACACTATGAAGACTATGAAAAGAATTGCAAAGAAGAAAAAGAACAAGATTGTGAAGAAGACGACGGTTACAAAAAGAAGAAGAGAATACGAAGAAGTAAACTATCAAGAAGAAGACTATGAAAAAAAATACTGAAGAAAAAGTAGGAGAAGAAAACTCCAAAGAAAAAGACTGAAGAATAACGCGGCATGCTCGAATTATGATTGCTTTTACGCGAGAAAGGGGGACCACCCTCTAGGCCTAAGTATTCCTCAATGACCGATAACGTACAAGTACTCTGTGTGGGGGGGGGGGTCTCTTCCCAAGGGAAATCAAAATAATTGTACAAGCATCACATCTGACTCCACAACTTCCGAGAGCTTGTGGTGTTCGCAGATACACGGATCAAGAGG